AAGGGAATCCTGACATTTTAATTGACCTACGAGAATCTCAGAAGCAAGAAGCCCACTCTATACTTCTATGTCCTGTCACCCTCTGGACAAGCTCTGGTAGTATAATAAATAGGTAATAAATCATATTCAATTTGAAGCTGTCACTAACACATATGGTATCTTTGTATGAATTCAGCAAATGCTGATTATAGGGTAAAAATGTAAAAACATACCCTTCCTTGGGGTCAACTCAGTTTCTGCACTAGGGAGCGTGGCTGGGTCAGTGGCTAGCGAGCTGGATTTCACCCACACATCTTGGCTGGGTGTCCCCACCAGGGCACAGTCAGCATAACCTCCTTGAGTACAAGGCAGATTGTGGTTCCTGTGGGAGGGATGACCCAGAATCAGACCAGTGATGGTGCTCCACGTGGTGCACTTTCTGTCCCGCTAGCCCAGGACCGGGTGAAGCAAGAGTGACCAGCACATGAAACCTTCTCCTTTTACTCTTAGTTTCATTTAGGCTGGGGAGTGCAATAGAGCTAGAGCTGATTTCGGTGGACACCTAGGGCCTGGATTTAATTTCCTTTTCTTTTCTCTCTTTTTTTCCCTTTCCTTTCCTTTTATTCTTTTTCTTCTGTTTTTTTTTTTCCCTCTTTTCTTTCTTTTTTCCTTTCCGCTTCTCTTTCTTTTTGATCTTTCTTTTCTTTACTTTTTATTTTAAGTTGCCAGTCAGTGTGTACATTTGCCAGAGAAAGATGGAGAAACAAAGAGAAGACTCAGAGGGAAAAAGCATTCCGCCAGTGGGGTATGGTCACATTATAAGCCCTTTCCTCCATTTTCCCATCTGACAGTATTTTGGGCATGCATCCATACACACCCAGTGTGTTTTTCAAGTCACAGAGTCCAGGATTCAAACCACAATTGGCCATGGAGAATCCAGCTACCTTATACAGCAGGCTATGGGACAGGCCTGATAATTCCTTTAATACTTCAGCTAATTCTGCTGTAGTGTGGTGTTGGCCTGCAGCCTCCAACAGGAGGTGAGCAGCGGGCAACTGAGCAAAGCTTCATCTGTACTGACAGCTGGTCCCCACTGCTCACATTACTGCCTAAGCTTAGCCTTCTGTCGGGTCAGTGGCAACATTAGATTCTCACAGAAGCTCAAACACTACTGTGAACTGCATGTGTGAGGGATCTATGTTGCATGCTCCTCATGATAATCTAGTGACTGATGATCTGAAATGAAGTTGAGCCACTCCTAAGGAGTGGCTGCAAATACTGATTAACACTAGCAGAGAGGCTTGATTGCACAGACCATAATAAATCAATTGCTTGCAGTCTTGTTTGAAAACACTATCACTAGGCCAGCATTTGGCCTGGTGGTTAAGGTGCTAGACTCCTACACAGCCAACCATAGTATGAGTCCTGGACATGACAGCTTGCTTTCTCATTCTCTCTTTCTCTGTCTCTCTCTCTGTAGTGAGCACACATGCCCTATAGCAAATTAAAAATTAATAAATAACCAGCAGATGGGGTAATGGTTGTGTTGCTGGACTTCCACATAGCTGACCATAGTTAGAGTCCCAGATACAATAGCGTCAAACTCATGCCAGATTCATTAGCATGCCTGCCCAAAATCCTGAAAGGATACTAGAGAACAGAGGGTGGCATGACTATCCCCTTAGGAGTGGTTTCTCACTTTCTGTCTCTGTCATTCTCTGTTTCTCTGGTGAGCACATGCACTCTATAGCAATAATCACTCTAAAAATACTAAAAAAAATCAAATAAAAGTAGGTAAATAATTCTTAAAAACAAAACAAAACAAAGAAAAACTGTCAGTAAGTAACAAGTGACAATTAAGCTGCATCTGGGGGTGTGCTTTATGGTGGAAAGTCGGCTGATGCACTTCAATTGTACAGCTACTTCTGGTGGCAGGCTTTACATCAGAATCTGCCTCTCACCACTCAGTTCACGGAAAAATTATCTCCCACAAAATCAGTCCCTAGTGTCAAAAAGTTGGTGATCACTTTTGTATCAGCTTCTTTTCCCTCGGGAAAGATCTAGCCAAGCTGGGATCCCTGTATTCCCTCTAGGACTGCCCAAAACTTATTCCTTTCTATGACAGGCCTTGGAGGAGCTGGTGGATGAGGGATTGGTGAAGGCCCTTGGGATCTCCAACTTCAACCACTTCCAGATCGAAAAGCTCTTAAACAAACCAGGACTGAAACATAAGCCAGTGACTAATCAGGTGAGTTCTGTTTGGTAGAAGGGTAAAGGTTTTGTCCTAATAATTCTTGAACATTTGGGGATAAATTTAATACTGTGTACCAAGTCTCCTCTCAGGGGTCAGTGATCAGGGTACTTTGGGGCACTGTGACATAGGTCCTCGGGTGTGGTTTATTAAGTCTAGATGTGAGCAGTATTTAGTCTTTGATTGGTAGTCTTTTGTGCGTGTGGAGAACTCCCTAGAATTCATGCAAAAAGCAGGCCAAATTCCCTAGTAATGGGGTTGTTTGATTTTGCAGATCGAGTGCCACCCATACCTCACACAGGACAAACTTATCCAGTACTGCCACTCCAAGGGCATCACCATCACAGCCTACAGCCCCCTGGGCTCTCCAGATAGACCTTGGTGAGACTTCTGAGTGGTGGCTCTTTCTTATTTATATTATTTTAGGGGCCAGCTAGTGGCATAGTGTTAAGGTCCTGGATTCCATATGGCTGACTACATAGTTTGAGTGCAGTGTTCAGCAGCTTGAGAAGATGCACTGGGAGTGTGTGCAAGTGTGCCCCAAATCCTGAAAGGAAGAGCAATGGAGAAAGGACTGTGGTGTGAACATCCTCCATGTTGGGTGGTTCCTTATTCCCCCACCCTTCACTGTCCCTCTCTGAGCACACACACCTTCTGGCAAAACTTAAGAAAAGAAGTAGAAAGCAAAGAACAACATTATTTTATAGTTGGTTAATGTTGGTATGAGACAATAAGGCAGTGGAAAGAAATACGTGTCTAGATCCAAATGGGATTACAGAAAATGGGAAATAATGGGAATTTAACAAAAACATAAACAAAGCCCCAGCAATATGCCTGACCTCCTCAGAATATTTTAGTTTACTCACCAGTTGGATCAGACTTTGCAAATGCTGAGGATTCAAAGCCTGGGGTGTGTCCATGGGTAGGCTCACACCTTTCAGGTCCTCCTGACAGTCTTTTTTTTTTTTTTTTTTTAGAGGTTTTTT